ACACAATTTTTAAACTTTATAAACCATTATACCCATAAATTATAAAAATATCACAGTTTTATTGTGCTTAATAGTTTATTTAATTAAATTTTCATAAGATTACATACTGCAGACTTCATTGTGTATTCATAAATTCATATATTATAATTTTTTCAAATTTTTTTTTTTTCTGATTCTTATAATTCATTTGCCTGCGGGTGCCAATCCCCTTTCCCATTTTTTTTTATTATTTTACTTTAGTCGATACATTTTTCCGAATATTTTATTTTTTTTTACTTCTTATAAATCATTTGCCTGCGGGCTCCTATCCCTCCTTCCAATTTTTTTTTTCATAATATAGCTCAATTCGATTTTTGTGTACACAATTTTTAAACAATAATTTCTACGTACTACCAAACAAAACCGTTTTATCATTAGGTTATATGCAGGCAACCGTCATATTTGTAGATATTATTAAAAAMCCYWAAAAAAAAATACGCTTTTAAATGAATTAAACTATTTATATAGACATAGGTAATCATATTATATAGTCTCTTATGTCAATGATATGATTTACTTTGATTTATTAATGGTAATTTATTTTTTTAATTACATATCATTGGCCAAATAATGGCCAATTTAGAACATATAAAGCCTTTATCAATACTTTTTTGACATTAATAAATCTTAAAATAATTTGTAATCTATTAGTTACACTTATCTTAATTTTCTAAGAAAATATTATTCATCAACGTCAATTTATACATTCACTTCATAGATGAGTTGAAATAGTTGAATTAATAGACAATATAAATATTTTCTTGTAGGGGACTGGACCTATATAATCGGTACGTTACAGCCGTTTTAGGGGGTTAAAAGAAAAAGTTTTTTTCAATTCCAGGTAAGTATAGTCAGTTATTAATTTATTATATTAATGTATGTAGTACCATAGAATATTATAATATAATATATTATATTATTATTTTATTATTATTATATTATATAATATTATTTTAGAATATTATTCTATGGTAGTAAATCACATGCACATAATCAGATCGACATATATTTTAAAATGACCGTGACAATGGTATTGATAAGGGGAGATACGCGCGCAGCAGCCAAATTGCCAGTGGCTACTGGCTAGTGATAATAATATTATACTCGTGCGTTTTATACGTTTATAATATGACTATAATAGTATAATATATCAGTATATTAGTATTAGTATAAGACTAAGACAATTCGTCTACAATATGATTGAAGACTTGTAGCATAGGAAGTATATTACTTAGTTACTTACAATATAAATATGTTATAATACTTGCAGTCACTTTACACTTACCAACACGATTAGAGTATTGTCGACAAGAATCGTATTATTAAGATGGATCTTACAGATTGTGATGTATTTAATAAATTAATGATAATTAACAATACCAYGTATTAATGTTTCCAATGTTTCCATTCTATTCAGTTTTTATTTTGAATGAACATAATGTTAAAAATGAGTATTGTAAGTACTTAAATCGTAATTATATTATAATTATAATAAATTCAACTAAAAAAAAAAATAACTACTGAAACCAGTGGCGTATTTTGGGGGGATGCCCTCCATGTCTTGACACCCCCCGAAATTTAAAAAAAAGTCCTAATATATTGGACATTAGTGTTGTCACTTATTTTATAGTATACTATTTTTATCAAATGTAAAACTTCTTGTCAATTCCTAACATATTAATTTGTTAAAAAATTAATTCAATGTATTTTTACATTAGTAAATAATACTAAAAATTTTTTTTTTGAGGTTCAATAAATTTTGACAACCCCCGAGAAATCAACCAAAATATGCCACTGACTGAAACAAGTCATATTACTTGTGCAATATCTTACACATTGTTTATATTTGACTATATAAACATATATACTGTATTTCTGTAGTATGGCTATTTAAGTCTAATAGGTAGAATCAGTCAAGTTATCTAACTTTTTATGAGGGGCAAGTCTATAGGCTTAATATTATATTACAAATATTATTTAGTACATATCTACTATGTATTGTTATTAAATTTATTTATTATCAAATATCTACTCGTTGTGTCCAATTTATATAATATTATATAACTAACCCTCTCGTTGTTAAATTGTAAGTCCTTGTGCAATGATTTCCTTCAGAAAACATTTTGTCGTATATTATACATATCAAATTACAAAGTTTCAGTGTTTTTTTTAACTACTTAACAATGAGATCCGACAATGTGAGATTAACTGAGGTCATGTATTACTCACTAACATGTGAGGACAGACCTACGACACTGTGCAGATTGGCTGAATGAGGCAATTATTTTTGCTATACAAATGAAGGAAATAAAAACTAGACTGATGAAAATAAATTTACCTATTTCGTCGAAATATAAAGGACTAAACACATGAGTATTGAAATATAGAACTAGAAAATCTCAAATATATCAAGTTGATAGTAGTCTTAATACTTGTATTTAATAAGTTAAAGGAAATAAGATTGCAGTTTGATCATTTTAAGTAAATTATGTGATTATGCTGGAAAATTAATAATACCTGACTAAAACATATTTCCTTTAATATAACTTTTCCAAATACTCTAGGGTGATMAAATTGTACATATTATGTTAAATCCCCAAGTGCATACTGTATTTATAAGAATGAATAGTTAATGAATGTAATATATTATTTTTGTATTGTAAATTAATACTAAATTGATTTTAATTATTTTTAGGTGTTACATTTTGTTTGATTTAAATATAACATATATATTATATTTTATTTACCAATATTTAAAATGAAAAAAGTGGCAAATCAATATGTGCCATTGTATCATTTTGAAATATTTTGTTATACTGTTATATGGGCTTCAGGCATAATTTATGCTGCTTATAGTTTATTAGATGTCAGCTCCAGTAAGAAATTTATGGCACATTTTTAATCTTTTGTTTTTCCATGTACCTAATATATATTTATTTTTTATTAGATTTAAAAAATTCAGAGATTCCTGACTTAGTACCTGGATGGTCTTGGCTTGGTCGAAGAAAAGATACTTGTCCAGAATGGAGAATATGGACTACTTTTCTCATCTACTCATTAGGTCCATGGGTTATTTTACATTCATCAATTCTACTGATAACACAGCATTATTTTTCAAAGGTTTTTATTCATAATAATTTACAAATACCTATTTGATAAACTATACATTTTGTTTTTGTTTTATATAGATATCAACAATACGTGATGTGTGGCTTATTACTGTTACAAGCTTATGTGTAGCGTATAATTTTGGTCTATTATCAGTCTTCATATTTTTTAGTCTGACATTAATTTATTACTGTTTATTATTATTTGGTAATCAAGTTTCCATTTGGATTACAAGCTTATTATTATTAGGAGTGGGGTCATACAATGATTCTTTATTTGTAAGTGAGGGAGTTAAAAATTGTTAGTTAAGTTGTATACAGATTAATAATAATTATTGTATGATTTTAGACCATTTTTGACTCTAGTTCTGATGGAGAGATCGCGTATTTATTACTTTTGACATTATACTGGCACCAATTACGCTGTATAAGTTTTTCACTTGGCTCATTGGATAAAGCTAAAAGTAAAACTTTGCCAAATTGTCTACACTTTTTAGCATATTCATTTTACTTACCATGTTTTTTTTTTGGACCAATAATAATTCACAAAAAAATTAATGTAATTTTATTTTAAAATTATTTATTTTAATTCCTATAATATTTTATTTTTTTACAACAGGATAAAAATAAAAATACTACCATGAAACCGTTGAGCCAACGTTTATCAAAACTCATACAAAATTTGATTAGATATTTTTTTTGGATGTTTTTTACTGAGTTCATTCTACATTATGTTTATATTAATATGTTTTTACAGAATATTAAAGTATGTGTTGTTAAACCTATTATAAAATTATATATTTAGTTGTAAAGATTTAATTTATTATTATTTTTTTTTTTAGGTTTTTAAACATTTTGGAATTAGTGCACTTGGTGGGTTTGGTTTTGGAATGGGACAATTTTTTTTCATTAAGTATACATTCATTTATGGCACTGTTATCACAATTGCAAGATTTGATGAATTCATTGAACCTCCCAAGCCACCAAAATGTATTTCACGGATTTATTTATATTCTGATATGTGGAGAAGTTTTGATCGAGGACTTTACAACTTTTTAAAAGAGTAAGTTGAATTATATTTATTTGATGTGCATACATTTAGCAGTATTTTTATATACACCTAATATAAATCTATATACAATGAAACCTGATTTAAGAAACATCACACACCTCTCATAACAGACAAAATAATAAGGTCTTTTCAAAAATATAGGCATGACCAAACCTTTCTATAATGGATATTTTGATGGTCCTATGAGTGTCCCTTATAGGTTGGTTTCACTGTATATATAGAAGTTTTAATTTTATTTAAAATAAAACATCTACTTTAAAGTAGGTATTGTGAGTTTTAAGTCTTAAAATAAAATAAAATATAATATAATATTTCAATTATTTATAAATATCTATGAAAATACAAGTTATTATCATTGTCATTGAGTACATTATTACATTAGTATTCTATGACTGTGATAATAAAATAAAAAGCCAACAAATTAATATTTTCAATGTGTATAGTGTATTAAACTATTAAAGCGTAATTAATAATGATTATATACAGATACATTATTAAATTTTAATGAAGAATTCACTAGACTATTTATAATTTTAAAACTAATATGCTATAATATTTTATATACAGTTGATACATTCATTCATCAAATAAGTATATTTGTTCAAAAACAGAATTTAATCTTCCAATATATGTAGTAGGATAATTATAAATTAGTTCATTTTCTAGCATATAATTTTTAATAAATCTATGCTTACTTTGACGACATTCATTAACAAACCAATTATAAAAATAGCGTGCTGAATATATTGCTGACCAACTATGAGGGTCATTCTTTCTCCATTCATAAGCATTTTTTTCTGGATGAAATTGTAATCCCACAAATGGATAATTTTTAGCTTCTACTGTGGATATGAATGTTAAATTATTTTCATCTTTATTTATTGTTATAGGATTCCAAAAACGATCTAAGTTCATTGACCTAAAGTTCTTTTTTGTTACACAATAACTGTAAATAGAAAAACCAATTATTTARAATGTAAAAAAATGCTTTGATAAACATATTAATAAAACCATGTTTATTATATTAATGATATTACTAAGTCTAGAAATCTTTAATCCTTTTTTTAAATTTCTCTTTAATTATAGAAAAGAGTATTATATTTTATAAATTCTATAAAATATTGAAATCAATTGCTAATGTATTAATAGGTTTAAAAAATATAAAATAATTTTAAAAACCTAAAGATATTTATGTCTTGAAATATTAAATGTCATCCCCACCTCTTAAGATCGGCCAATGTGATTATAATATAATATTATATATTATTATTTATATGATATAAACCACCCTACTGTGATATTAGTTATTAGAATTAATTTATACTTATGGTGGTTTGCTGTGACTGGTTCTGTAAGTAGTATGTTTCAAACCTTTTTTGGCATTGATTTGAATAAGAAACTTTTCTCTTCCATTGTTGGTATAAGGTTCAGAGGTAGATTCATGTTCTTAGAATCACAGAGTGTTAGAGGATTTTTTCCAGCAATGGATGCAATTAGAAGAAGTTCAAATCCTAGACAAATTCCAAGTATTGGAAATCGATCTCCGTTATCATTTATCTGAAAAATAAATTGATAGCGTAAGGTCTTTTGGAATTAAAAAATTGTGAAATTAAAAAAAAATCAAATCCTAAATAAATCCTAACTATCAAAAAATTATTATATATTATATCTGGAAAAATAGATAATATTGAGTAAATKAACAACATAACATTTCAACCATGAACAATTAATGTATTCATCTATTGATCTACTTAATTTTTATTTACACGTTTTGCAATTTGAAAAATTTTATATGTTGATTGACTGATTCCATAACTAATATTCAACGCACATTCTCCTCCTGGGACCAAAATGCCATTCACTTTTTTCACCACATCCCTATAATAGAATAACATATTTTATTTGTAGTTGTGTATGTTGTATGCAATTTAACTATGCTATAACAAGTATAACATACATGTAATATTCAGTAGTTCTGTTGGTGAAAACTGGTACAACTCGTCCTCCAGAAGCTTCTATTGATTTGACATAAGATGCAGCTATATACGATTTATTAAATGGTATTAACTTTTTAAAACTAGACCAATAAACTTCTTGTGTTAATATTCCAATCACTGGTCTTTCATTACAAATGGTTAGTTTTACCAAAAAACTTAAAATTAAAGTTAGAAAAACTGGTAAATACATTTTATTGTTACCAATTTAAATAAATATATATTTAGGTTAGTGACAAGTTTCTAAACTAAAATATTAATTATACAAATCAACTGCAAGTTCAAAATTATTTCAAAACTTGTCTTATGTGTATAGATTAAATGTTGTAGAAATGATGATAGCTATAAATTATAATTATATAAAGTATGTTACTATTTTACTTTTTATACCATGTTTCAAATTATAATAGTTTTATCAGATATATTATTAAAATCTTCAAATGTCAAATCAATTACTTGTAAATTAAAATTGCATTAATTTAATTACCAGACGATGATTATTATTATCGTATGACCTTTATTGAATGCAATATAATTATAAAGTACTATTACAGTATTAATACTATTAGCTAACAGGCAAATTAGAGTAAACAAATAAATATATAAATAAAAAACTGCATATAGCAAATATAAACTATGGAATATAAAATACTAATAAATAAATAGATTGGTAAATATGTGAGTGCAGTACTGTGGCATATATATTGCGTTATCTTTGGTAGTGGATTACGTTAGATTTCGATGTCTAATGAGTCTAGCCATTTAATTGCCTTGTCCGTAACCGAATGTATCTCAGATAAGGTTCCAGTAAATTTCCTCTTTGCACACTCACTTACTATGTGTTCCATTGTTTGTTTATCTGCGCCACAGTCACATTTAGGGTCTGTCTTGATTTTCCTCTTATGTAATAAATAATTACACCGACCTTGGCCTGTGCGTATGCGATTCAGCCTTGTCCAGAGTTTTCGAGAGAGGTCTGACCCTGGAGGTTTACTATGTACATTATCCACTAAAGAACCGTTAGTTGGGATGTCATTTTCTCATTCTTCCTTCCACGGGTCGGGCTAAAGTCTTCTATGGTTCTTTATTGCTTCTAATCTCGCGATAAAGGGCGCCGGGACTTGAGTCTTGGCAATGCAACTCCATATTCATGAATTGGCAATACCTGGTTATTTTGGATTATGTCTGCAATTCGCAATACAGTATTTTGTCGGTGAATATGTGGGGGTTCGATGTTGGCTAAGACTGATAACCACTGTACTTTTGTGGATTTGACTGTACCTGTAATAATGCGGAGACCTTTCCGCAGTTGATGATTACAAGTTCATTTTTAAACTGAACATCTGTCTGCAATAATAATAATATGTATTATTCAGTTCTGTATCAAATTATTACCTTTTCTTAAAAATATGTAGTTAACATAGTTATTTTAGATTCACAGATTTAGATAAGCAGAGCGATGAATGTATTGATTTTACAATGGTGTGTTTTTTTGTGTCTGTGTACACGATAAGTTGTCGAAATAATGCTTTGATTTTCAACTTCAGTAGCTTTTCTGATTGGAAAGTGAATCTAAATGGTTTATTGGGGAGTTCAAATTTTGAAATACCCAATAGTTTTCAAAAGCATCGGGAAAAACCAAAAAAAAAAAATTTAGAAAAAATGGGAATTTTTACGCGAAATCAATTTTTGGAAAAATCGATTTTAGATATTGGTGGAACTCTAAAACAAATTACCATAGACATATGACATTTTTACTGAATGTTTATACAGACATTTTCTATATTTAATACAATTTTCAAAATATTTCAAATCTTTTTAAGTTATTTATAGGCATTTTTAATTTTATTTGTTTGGTAAAAAAACATCAAAATTTATTAAATTAAAAATTTACAAATTATTTAATTGTTAACAATTTATAAAGCATTTAACTATAATAGCTAAGGATTGAAAATTTAAAACGAGGTTCTACATAAGTATTTAATTCTGTAACAAAAAAATCTAACAACCATACATACGCAGTTTTTTTTATAGTTATTTTAATTTCAAATTTGGATAAAATTACATATTAAATACTTAACCAAGAATAACAATTTTAGTTATATTGTTGTAATTAAAAAATATTATTTGTGGATACTTGAAATTTCTAGAGTAAACTTTATATTCTAATTTTTATAGTTAATGGTGTTAATGACTGAGTGAGTTGGGTACATAATGAATCTGATTTGATAAATTTGAAATTTATTTTAAAGGTACCTACATGTTTTTTTTTTTGAAAAAATAATATAATTAATATGTTATAAAATATTCTTGACTGACAAACCCTCTCCGCTCAGAATCATTTTTGGTATACAATGTTATTATATCATTTAATTCAAATATCACCCATTATACTACTGTACAGCAGAGCGACATCTACTTACCCACATTTTTTTTTGGTTGATGTATTGTAAAAAATGCACTGAATTAAAAACATTTATATACCTTATTTAATTTTATCTTTATCTAAAAACTCTTACACATTATTTCAATTTGGTTCATGATTTAAGAAAATTAGCTTTGGATTGTAAAACACTTCAGACTGTTCAGAGTTGTAAAACATTGTTTGATTGATAAACTTAAAGACAATTTAAAAAAATGTATGTTATTGAAACTCGAGTAAAATTTATTTTTTATTTGAGGTGTAAATATAAATAATTGGTTTTATTAAAATATAAAATATAATTTTTAAATCATCCCTTGTTTATTATAGCAATAATAACATATTGTACACAATATTATTTAAAATTATAGTACTAATATGAGTTTTGATATTTAGACCAAACAAATAATACTTTTATTCATTAAAAAAGTAAACTTGCTCAAAAACAGAATGCATTTTTCCCACATATGTTGTAGGGTAGTTATAAATTAATTCATTTTTTAAAGTACTTTTTTTGATATATCTATGCTTGTTTTTACGACATTCATTAATAAACCAATCAAAAAAATAGCGTGCTGAATAAATTGCTGACCAACTATGAGGGTCATCTTTTTCCCATTCATAGGCATTTTTTTCTGGATGAAATTGTAACCCCACAAACGGATAATTTTTTGCTTCTATTATGGATATGAATGTCAAATTATCTTTATCTTCATTTACTGTTATAGGATTCCAAAATTTATCTAAGTCCATTGACGTAAAGTTTGTTTTCCTCATACATTTACTGTAAAAAATAATAATTATTGATTACTTAAAAACTATATGTTTAGTTCTTAGGCGTAGCATGATAAATTTATATGAAGAGGGGCTATTACTATTTTTAAAAATAAAAAATGTTTCAGTTTTCATACAGGGACAGAATTCTACGGAACTATTGCCATTTTAGCCTCCACCCTCTATTTCACGTCTATGATTCAGTTAAATGTAAATTAAATAATATTCTTGTAAGGTTAGTTGAATAAAGTAGCAGTAAGATAAATTTTGAATATACATATCTGGACCACATATAATTTGCATGTACAGACCAAACCTGTAGTAATTATAAATATTTTTGCAATATCTCTTTTATTGGCCTTTACACCAATACTTTTGAAATAATACTGATTTGTTGTTTTATAATGAATTAGATTTGGAGCTACAAATGACAATATGCATGCAAATATCCAAAATATGTTAGGAAAAATGTATTAACATTATAAATGAAAATATGAAAAAGTTGGCACTTTTCTCTAAAATTGACATGGTATAAAAATAAATAAGGCATTTTTTAATTTTTAAACTCGTCATTGTATAGAATAGCTTTCTAACTTGATCTGCTATCAATTGAAAGTGCATAGAAAAATATACATTACTACAACTTACATGTCCTAGTCGTGAGTAATATGTTATTATTTGTTCAGTTATACTGATATATTCCTTATATAATAATTGATTTTTTTGTCGTTTAAATATATCTAAACAAAATAATTAACTAATCATTTGATTAATACATACATATGATGGTTTGCTGTGACTGGTTTTGTAAGTAATATATTTTGAATATCTTTCGGCATGTTTCTAAATAACACACTTTTTTCTTCCATTTCTGGTACCAGTGTTAAAGGTAAATTCATATTTTGAGCTTTACATTTTGAAAAAGGAAATTTCCCTTTAATAGATGCCATTAATAGAAGTTCAAATCCTAAACAAATTCCAAGAATAGGAAAATGATCATTTAATTTGTTTACCTGAAAAACAGACAAAATGTAGTCAATGGACATAAATAGTTTGATTCTAGACAAATGTAAATATAAATTGATGTTAATATCTTTAATTCTGTTACATATTATATTACTTACGATTTTTGCAATCTGAAAAATTTCATTTGTCGATCGACCTATTCCAGAACTAATATTAAATGCACATCCTCCTCCGGGGACCAAAATTCCATTAACTTTTCTCACCATGTCTCTATAAACATTTTATAACTGTTAATTATGTTGCTGATAATATTATTGTGCAGTTCCATACATGTAATATTTAGTAGTTCTGTTGGTGAAAACTGGTACAACTCGTCCTCCAGAAGCTTCAATTGATTTAACATAAGATGCAGCTATATACGAGCTATTTAATGGTACTGATTTTCTAAAACCTGACCAATAAACTTCTTGTGTTAGTATTCCAATTACTGGCCTTTCATTACAAATGGTTAGTTTTATCACAAAACTCAAAATTAAAGTTAGAAAAATTAGTGAATACATTTTGTTACCAATTTCACTTAGACAAAATTGAAATATAAAGGAGTAATAATCAACCCAAATTACCAACACTTGCTGTAGAAGAATGAATATTTTTTTTGTGTGTACTAATATTAATTTGAACTAATATAATTTGTAAATAACATTGAAGTGTGTTATTGATTAGTTGAATAAACATATTTGTACGTGTATTTAATCTCATCACTACACTAGAGACTGTTATCGTCTATCCGTCTACACTTGATGTTTCTCTTAAATAATAAGTGTGTAGATTAGCTTTAATAGTGGTTGAAATGTGTTTTTGAGTTATAAGTTGCAACAACTTTGGAAGTAGTGCTCCCTTTCCTCAGCTTTTACGTCATGTAATTATGTCATCACATAAATTACCTATTATATTAACTTGTTTATAGATTGAAAATGTCTTTTATAATAAAAAAAATACAAAAAAAAAATGTTTCAACGACTATACTACTAATTGCACAAAATATTATTTTCTGTCTCAACAGCATCCCATGGCTACTTTTTTAGATATTAAAATTAATTTAATATTCAGTAGTTTTGGACTACAAGATTTTTTTTTTTATAATTAGATATTTAGAAAAGAGCTTAGGTTATAATTTTATTAAATTTTAGACTCAAAATGAAACATACTCTACACATTGGATTTTCAATGATTAGTGCTTTTATTATCTCTGGACGATAACTGGAAACACTTTTGATCTATTCAATGGTAATAACAATATTTATAGTTTATACAGTACATCTATGCATTTACAATGGAACACAATTATGCCTTTGACATTACAATAAAATTATTTTATTCTGTATCCATTCAAAATATATAAATATATAAGTAGATAAGATTGGTACTAAAATAATATAAAATAATATATTTATGTATACAAATACAAAATTCAAGTATTAACTACTAATAAAATATAATAAGAATCAATAAATATTAATAATAACATATTGTATTCACTTGTGTTTATATATTTAATTGTTATTTTTCAGGTATATTTATAGACCATCTGGACATTCAGAAAATATTAGGCTTGGTACCAAATTGACTAGGTCATTTTTGTGTTTTGCATTTATTTTCATTTGGCATGGATTATCATGGGAAGTTTTCTTATGGACTCTATTCAACTTCATAGGCATCACATTGGAAACTCTAGCAAGGGTTTTTGGAAAAACTTCTTACTATTTCCTCTATATTAAGGTAATTCATATAATTGTTCATTTTAAAAGTCTTAAATATGAGACAAGTGGGCTTGTGTGTTTTAAAATAGATTAGGCAGTGAATATGTTTATTTAATTTAAATTAATTGTATTGATTCTGTTATCAAATATCAATTGCAATATTTGAATGTTTGATGTGTGTAGTAAATTTATTGGTGATTACTGCATATTATATTAAGTATTACTAATTTTAATACTGCTTTTCACAAAGTGGAGACTAACTATAACTACAGTGAGTTATAGATTAACCATTTGAAAAAGGATCGATTAAAAACTATTTCTAGTTATAAATTAAATAAACTCTAAAATATATATATAGATCAGTCAACTACTGTGCATTACTATTTTATACTATTTGATTATAGAACAAACTAAGTGCCCCTAATGAAAGGCGGGTTTTAGCACTTATAACCAGTCCTTTAACAATGCTGTCGGCCATTTCAAACTTTTTCTTTTTTGGCGGTATTGACGCCGGATTAAGTTTTTTTGAAGCGATATTTTTACTAAGTAAGTAAATTTTATCTTCAACAGATCTTGTTATTTAAATTTATATATTTTTTAGATACATGGATTGAAAACATTATTATTATCATAATATTTTATTCAATGTGTCAAGTATCTATAGAATTCAACCATTATAAAAAATCAAAAAAACAATGAATTGTGTATATTATATCTCTTAAACAAAGTACATAGTTTATTCAATTAACACAAAGTATTAAATTTAATATAAATATTAATCGGTACAAATTACATTATACATAATGTACTATATTAATATAGTTCCTATATTTGATATTGTAATATTGTAAATGCAATGATTTAATAATAAGTCTGTAGCCTATGTATGTATATCAAACAAATTAATTTTAAACACTAAGTATTACAGATAAAAATCTAATTTATTAAGTATTATAATTTTATTACTAAATATTAAATACAATAATGATTAACATGTATTTCATTATAAGTACAAATTTAAATTTTAAATACGCTTGTAACAATTATGTGTTCAAAATTGTCTAGTAATAGTTATTTCATATATGTTTTTGTTATTTCCAGTAAGTATATATCTACAAATTTCATAGTGTTTTTATGAATCACACCGCTACCTATGGAATAATTTATTTTAATAACCTTAATATTTTTATCATACCTACAATAGTATTTCAAATAAATAACAAAAATAACAGTATTTATTATAATAAAAAACATTTTTATGATGTGGAGTGTTATTTTATATTTTTTATTATATATTTATTCCTTAGTGTACTTTATCCTCTCTATTAAGTGTTATTTAGTTCATTTCAAATTCAACTGTTTACATATTGTTCATAAGAGACTAAAAATATTCTTTAAATCTTTTTTGTCAAGAGAATATTAATGTGTACAATGTAAATAACAAAAGTAAATATCATAATTTATATTATGTACATTGGTTTTACAGATTGAAGTAGATCAAGAAAAAAAAACAAGTGCTATGAGTCATATGGCTTGAAGTTATCTTATTTTTTGAGTATTAGGAGTTTGATTGAAAATATTGTATTTTATTAAGTTAGTTGTAGGCACTTAAGAATATTCATCATAATTTTAAAGAGTTTAATAAATAATAATCAATATTTAAATGTGATTAAGTTAAGTTTAAAAATGTTTGACCAATATTTTTTTATTTTTTTTATTATTTCAGGACACTTATCAAATTCTAAACGCCTACTGTTTATGTCAATTTTTTCATATTATAGGTGGGTACCTAATCTATAAAGCACAAATTCAATTATTTTCATGACTACAAAACGTTTTCATCTTTTCATGTATATCAAATATCAATATTTAATATCTATAAAATCATTTACTAGCTAAAATCTTTGACTCAACGGGGTGTTCGACGATACAATAAATACGGAGTAGCAAAAATTACTACTAAACTGATTTACTCTGTAAATTATTAATTGTAATGTATAACTACAAATGATTTGTTTTTCTGTATTCAGATATTTTGTAAGTGATTGATTTTTTTTAATGAATTCTTAAATACACCTAAAAGAGTTGTACACAAATAGAAATGATTGAAAGACAATTAAATAGGTATATTATAATTACAACAATAATTGTTAACGTCCATTTTAAAATTACGCTGTGTTAGAGATCACACGCAATTCAGTATGAATCAACAAGTGGATTCCTATTTCAGATACTATTTAAATACTTAACGATCTAATTTTTATGTCTTAATTTAATGTTTGGATTCAGTTCAATGTACACGAATAATAAAAACTAAGAGGAATATCATTATATAAATAATAATTCGAGGTTTGAAATACAAAAACCTCTGTATTACATAATTATATTCAGAGCCACCCTGTTAAACAATCGATACCTATTAAAATTATATGATTCATACCTATAATTATATTGCACATTGACCATTCTTAAATCGCTCTAACTATAATATTTTATACACTGGTTATATATTATTATATATGTACAGTTATTTGATTGATCGACTTTACTTAAGTATATAATATAATGTCACATTATAACATATTATTATTCAAATACTATATCATATCAATATCTCCTGGAATGACAGTGTTGTATATCTCCTCTGTGGTAAGGTGGCGGCGGTGGCGGCGTTGGAGGAAATCCTCCTCTGTCTTGAGATCCCAACGATTGCCTGTCCACCTCGATAATGTCCTCGTTGTCTTTCTGGAGGGCCGAAAAACACATGTCTCTGTTAGCGCAACAACTTTCCTGATGTCCGATATTACAAGACGACGATATCACGCTGGAGTTGTACTTTTTACGACGGAAAATCTAAAAGACGAAAAAAAAAATGATTGAAATTAATTGATATTCGCAAACAACATACTATATAATACAGCGTCGTCATTGCCATTACTTTGGTTTTGATTATGCTGCGGCTGATGCGTCTGAACTTCCGGTTCAAMGCCCAGTATATGAATGGATTCCAAAAGCTGTTGCTCAGTGCTATCCACGTGATAATGAAATCTACAGCCGGTGGCATCTGTATTCACGGAAAATGCGTAATCAAATGCAATATCATCTTGCAGGTTGTATGTCACAATGTTTGTTTGTTTTAGATAAAAAAAAATTTTAAAAATAGGGGTAGGTACGTACTTTTGTGCCTGTACACGCAGTGACAACTTCTTGAATTGTCCAAGGAGTTACAGCTACTATAAAACCTAGCGCCACTGCTCCCATAGCCCTGGTAGTTCGAATGCTTTGTCTCAGTTCTTTCGACGCTAACCGATCAGATACTTCATCGAGAGTGTTCTAAATTAAATTGATTTAGAACTTCAATTTCTCGAGCTAATTATTTATTTATTTATTTTTTTTATTATAAATTCTACGTTGTCCGTCTAGATGTTATACACCTAAGCCTGGCCAAAAGAGAATCAAACTCAACTATTATAACATTATATTTTGTATTACGACAGACAATCGGGAATTACGATGTGCATACTTATTTCAGTAAAATTATGTTGAGACGATTGCATTTGGAAAAATATAATGTGTATAATATATTATATAATATAGGTAGGTATTGTTAAAAGGTCGTGTTTGTCAAATGTTATTGCTAAAAAATTAAACGTGTTTTTGTGCGCAATGATAATTAAAATCCTAATCACGATTTTAATTTAAAATCCAATTTAATTTTTAGTACCGAGGATTTCTATTAATAGCCGCTTACAAAATGTACMTACCTACCTAACAAATATTATAACTTATGATTATCATTTGAAATTTCAAGACCTATCTTTTATCCAATATTTCGAGTACCTATACTGTCTTTCATATAGTGATTTACGTATATAAACATCAACGAAGACGTTAAAAAATTGTATATTTTCGAGTTTCTGTCTAGGAAAAAAGAGTATATAGATACGAATTTAAGAGATTTCTGAGCCTCTGAAATCAGAGGTGTCATCATATACGCGATACTTTTACGTTATTATTAGGTATCTATATTGAACGTTTCTACGATATATATTTATATTTATCAAACTTAACTTAAGCTTTGTTTAAAATACATAATATTATTTCACTCGACCAAAAAGCTGTCTATAATTATTTGCTATACACTTTCTGGTAAAAATCACACGCCCCGATAGGAACAAACGGCATGTGCCAAACGCTATCGTAACCAAAGGCCAATATTGAGGTCGGTAAAAATATCGCGACAAATATATTGTGATGTCTTCTTGAACGTAAACATCGATTTTGTCGGAATATACTGAACTTATTTATAAAATATATTTAACTGTTATATATTCCACCGGGTATAGAAAAATATCTCCCAACACTATTCTGCAAGTTCTACCGCCTCAATCTTTCTAGGAAATGCATTGTATATCGTTCTCCGGTCTCCAGTTTGGCCACACAAGACTTCCATCTCATTAATTTTTAAACTGTCACTGAACGATTCCCTTCTTTACGACTCTGCACACTCCATATGATGATCTAACAGTCTGTGATATCAGCCACTTACTCTTCATCTGTCCCATCTAGCCTATCTACACATCGTGACCACCTATTGTGCATTTTTATAACATCAACAACATCCCTCTCGATACTTACATAAATATATTATCAAACCAACAAAAAAATATCATATTGAATAGGTATAGGTATTATCTTTCTTTAACCATACACTAGGCTTTTGAATTTAATTGTATATCGTTATTATTTTTAATTTTTATTCTAATCAACTTCTATATATATTAACCTAACCTGTATCTTTATAATATTATATAATAATTAATAAGTTGGTGGTACCTTTCCAGCGTTATTGGGCAACATAGGTTGCACTAAAACGGCGCATATGTTGATTTGTTGCCTGTGCCGGAGCCTGTCCACGTGCAATGCCGACCCGTAGAAATACATTAGTGCCATTGTCGTGGGGAAATAAAACAGGCAGGCGGCCAATATTCGCAAACTCGGCCTCTGATAAAACGGCTCGCACGCCATTAGTCCATTGCCGTTGTAGAAGTATCCTCCTCGGCGGATGACCGCCGCACCGAAAGCGGTCAACGAGCCCACTAGAGTCAAACTCAACACCAACATACAGCCCTGTAAGAACAAAAGTCAAATTTTATTTCAGGCGATAACCAATATGACGAGTGGTGACATTTAAAATTTTTCAATTGCACCATGCGATATACAGTATTTTAATGCAAAATAATGTTCTTACATTGCTGGCAGACAATAATATACCTAGATAATTAATAATCGAACGTGATATAATATGTAGGGGCACCTATACAATGAGACTGCAATATATTATCTAATCACTAAACGTAAATAAATATAAAATAAAATTTAAAAATTTAAAAATATATGTATGATTTTTAGATGTACTCCCCTCTTATGAAATTAGTCAACATCGTCTTTTAAATAATAATTTTTTGATGTATATTTTTTTAATTACTACCTTGCCCCTTTGAATATATCTCCGCATGTACCTATACGCCGCTGCATGACGTATCTATTCTCATTTATGAATTACGATTTACCACGTAAAAGTAGGTACCCCAAGTACAACAGTAACAAAGCGACATATTATGTCCAGTAGCCGAAAACATAAGAAGTTGCTTATAAAACGTTCTTTCATGAATCTATTAAAGTCCAAAGTCACAAAGGAAAACTTCGTTACAAGATTTTTCTCAAGTTTAATACACTTGGAATAAATCAGGCTGATAAGTGGTTATTTTAATAATTGTTTATACTACCTATACGGCTATACATGGTTTTAAACATTATAATTTAGCTGAGAATGCTGGCTCTTTTGTTATCAAATTGCACTCTTGGTATCAGCAATTCGCGCCTTTTCTATTTCTAAACTCAATTATTGTATTCATTTCAGAACCGGAACACGACATCGTCACATCGACTGGCCAATTCTTAAATCTGAGTTGTGTGTAGCGAAACTAGGAAGATAGAATCTCTAAATTGTTAAGTTCAATTTCCAATTTATAAAAGTGCTATTTTCACTGCCCCAAAAAAGTTAAGAAAAAAAAATTKCTCTCTCGTTTCAAYCAGAATCTAAAGTATTTATATACAACCGTTTAAGCGTTGTAGAAAACAAAAATTATGATAAACGAAAACCATTTATTGGTTTAAATGGTTTAATATTTAATTTCTCTTTTTCTAACATTTTGTWGGATTTGTTTTAAAATCAACTAATAACGAAAAACAAAACATTTTGACTTTCATCTTTCAGTATAATATTATTAAAGTACCAAGGTACCTAAATTTGAAATATGTAAAAAGTTTATGATTCAAATAGTAAATGTATATTTTATATTTTAATATCATTAATTTAGTACCCACTTAAGTATTTTGTAATATTTGTATTGACTACGAACAGCGTGGTCTGTTATTATCTATATATTATGTAGGTTAGGTTATGGGCACTGTAATATAATTGTCTGTTCTTTTATTTCTTAAAAGAAACCATGCTGAAATYATTTAAAAATAACATAATTTTTGTTTTGAACATAAAAGTTTAAGTTAACGTTTACCACTATTTATGAAATATAAATTCAATTAATTTGAATTTAAATTATTTATTTGATTAATACTATAAAAAAAAAAAAAAAACATGTTGAAAAAAAAAATATTTTTTTTGCAATTGATTTCCGGAACATATTACGTGACGTCCAAATTTGAATCGATCCAGTAATTACTTTACACATCCTTGTAAATTCCAGATAAAACTAATATAAATGATTATATATCCGGAAAATGATGGCAAATAATATGTTTTACGAATAAACATTTAATTCAAGAATCTGAATGTAGACTTCAGGTACCTACTATTAAATTACCTACCTAGAAGTCTTTTATTTTTTTTTAATAAAGATAAAATACCAATTACGTATTTTAAAGACTTCAAAAAATTTAACTGTTGTTAAGGTTACATTTATATAAAAATTAACACAATAAAATAGCAACTGTGGGGGACGAGGTGGCCGAGTGGTCATCCGCGTCGGCTGTGGCTCAGCCGGACCGGGTTTGATCCTCGACCATCGGGCGGCATTTTTCTCCGGGCAAGTCACGGTGTCCGGAGAACAAGTGCCGCCATCCCCCACTCCGGGGCATGGCAGAAACCTACGGGTGCCCCAATAGAAATCCTGCCAAAACTCTCATCCACGTGTAAAACCAACCTACAGTTCCATAACAACCTACAGTACTACCCCTTTCCCAATGG